ATCCAGGAGATGAGGTTTGAGATGCTCTGATTATCTATGTCTGATTTAAATGAAAGATGCTGTGTGATAGAATGTAGAATAACAGAGTTGGAAGGGACCTTGGAAGTCTTCTAGTCCAGCGGTCACCAAGTGGTGGTCTGCAAGAAAATTTGAGGGGGTGCACTAGTGGTCCGCAAGAAAATTTTGGTGGTCTGCAGAAAAATTATTTACATTTTTTATATTGCACTAAATCTGAGGTCCTCAAACTATGGTCCCTGGGGCAGATACATACAATGAACGTTTGTGTTGCTGCAGAGAGTCTCCCCCTTTTTCTGTGGGTCGGAGGTGGGCAAAAATTCTGACTTGGCGTCTGCTTCAGCCTCCTGGTGCGGGGCTTTGGGTGAAGACTGGAGGGAAGTGCTGCTGGTGGCAAAGAGGCGGAGGGCCTTGTTCCAGTGGGACTGCATCATGGCCTGGAACAGGCTGACCATCTCAGCCCGCTGAGACTCCAGGCACCGGGACCTGGCCTTGCACCCCCACAGGTCTTCCCTCTGCTTGGAAAGCCTATGCTCGTAGTCCTCAGTGAAGTGCTTCTGCTGAGCCTCCTCCTCGGTCAGATCCAATTTGAACTGAGCCAGCCGTTTTCCCAACTCTTTCTCATGGTGGCTGCTTAGCTCCAGCAACTGCTTCCTGTTGAGACTCTAAGGAGCCTGGGCAGGCAGGCGAGGAGTGGCTGGGAGGGGAGGGCCGAGTAGAGGCGAGGTGCCTCTCGACATGAGTGACAAGTTGGCCATGCCCACCTACTTACATGACCACCTTGCCACGCCCACCCAGCCGGTCATTAGGCAGATCATATTAGTGGTCCACGGGATTTAAAATTATGAATTTAGTGGTCCGTAAGGTCTGAAAGGTTGGTGACCCCTGTCCTAGTCCAACCCCCTGCTTAGGCAGAAAACCCCATACAAATGGTTGTCCTATCCCTTCTTAACCAATAATTAAAATCTCTTTGCCCGAGCAGCACTCAAGCTCTGAAAAAGTGTAAAACATTCAAATTTAAATACAGCCCGTCCTGGACTTAAAATGGGGTAATTTAGTGACCGTTCAAAGGCCATGAAAAAATGACTTACAAATGATTTTCATGCTTAGTGACCTTTGGCTGCAATCCCATGGTTGTGTGATCAGTATTCAGACCTTTGGAACTGACTCATAGTTATGACGATCACAGTGTCCCAGGTTTATGTGATCACTTTTTACAACATTCTGATAAGCAAAGTCTTCAGTGATTCACTGAACAACTGTGGCAAGAAAGACTGTAATACGGGACAAATTCACTCAGCAACTATTTCATTTAGCAATGGAAATTTTGGGCTCCGTTGTGGTCGTATGTCGAGGACTACCTATATTTAACTTTGAGTCACTGCCTCCCTCCCTCCCTCCCTCCCTTCCTTCTCAGTGGTTAGAATGCAGTCTTGCCCTGATGACAATGGGTATCACTATTTTTTTTATTATTGTTATTATTTCTTTTATTCATTAAACATGAAACTCAGTCAAGTGAACATTTAAAGATGTGTCGCAAGTACCAGTGACTGGTTGATATGGGTTGCTGCCAGCATCCTAGGTATCAGCCAAGTACCTTCTTAAAATATAAGATGTTCCAAGTAGCACAGTTTTTTGTAGTTCTGCTGGTGTTATTGCAGGAAGCTGCAATTTATTGATGTATCTTGTAAAATTCTTGGACGTGGTACCAAGTGCCCCGATGACAATGGGCATCACTGTTACATGTTTTATTCATAGCCATGTAGTTTCAATGGCCAGGTTGCGATATTTCATGATTTTTTTTAGTTTTTTCTTTGACTCTGGCATCTCCTAATACAGCAATATCAATAAACTGGCGTGTTGTATTCCAAATGATGATCTGTCTGTATTCAAAAGTCCCACAAGATCTTCACCTTCATTATTGTGATTGTTGTTATTATTATTATTTCGTGCCATTAGGCAGCGAACGAAGAGGAAGAGGGCAACGAGGAAAAGAATCCCAAAGCGGCTGCGGAGGAAGAGGAGCAAAAGAAACGCATCGCGAAGAAACGTAAACTGAAAGAGATGTTCGATGCAGATTATGACGGGAACGCCACCTATTTTGACGATCTGAAAGAGGAGCTGCAGAATCAGGCTCAGGTAATCGGTTGAAGGGTTCAGAGGCCAGGAAAATGGCCTGGCAACTGTTCTCCTTCAGACCCTGCAGAGTTAACTTTGGAAAAGGAGCTCAAATCCATTATCAAAGCTTGAATTAAGTAGAGCTGGCGTGAGATAAAAATGTCCCTTTGCTCTATCTTGACTTTCTCTGGTGCAAATAAAGGAGGAAGCGACATAAAAGCTGTCAGTTTTATTATAGCAATAGCACTTAGACTTATATACTGCTTCACAGTGCTTTGAGCCACGGTGATGCAATGGTTAGAATGCAGTACTGCAGGCTACTTCTGTTGACTGCCAGCTGCCTGCAATTTGGAAGTTCGAATCTCACCAAGCTCAAGGTAGACTCAGCTTTCCAGGACCCAAATTGTTGGGGGCAAGAAGGTGACTCTGTCAACTGCTTAGAAAGATGGTATATAGGTCTAAGGGTTACTGCTATTTACAGCCCTCTCTAAGCAGTTGACAGAGTCAGCCTATTGCACCCAACAATCTGGTCCTTATTTTACCCACCTTGGAAGGATGGGAGGCTGAGTCAACCTTGAGCCGGTCGGGATCGAACTCCTGACGATGGGCAGAATTAGTCTGCAATGCTGCATTCTAACCACTGTGCCAGCACGGCTCTATATTATAGCTTAAAGCAGTGGCTCTCAGCCTGGGGTCCCTGGACCCCTGGAGAGTGGGCGTCATAGGAGGGTCTGCTAAGGCTTGGAGAAATGTTATGATTTGACTCTTGAGTTAAGTCTTGGAGGGATCTTTAGCCACAAAAAGGTATTTAAATGGAGTCCTTGGTGAAGAAATGGTTGAGAGCCCACTGGAGTGAAGCATTATTATTTGAGGGACAGTTTGGTATAGATAGGGACGCGGTGGCTAAGATGTTGAGCTTGTCGATCAGAAAGGTTGGCAGTTTGGCAATTTGAATCCCTAGCACTGCGTAACAGAGTGACCTCCTGTTACTTGTCCCAGCTTCTGCCAACATAGCAGTTCCAAAGCACATAAAATGCAAGGAGAAAAACAGGAACCACCTTTGGGGGGAGGTTAACAGTATTCTGTGTGCCTTCAGTGTTTAGTCATACCGGCCACATGAGCATGGAGATGTCTTTGGACAGCACTGGCTCGTCTTTGAAACAGAGATGAGCACTGCCCCCTAGAGTCGGGAACAACTAGCACATATGGACGAGGGGAATCTTTACCTTCACCTTTGGTATAGTGGTTAAGACACCAGACTCGTACCTGGGAGTTTGGGAGTTCTAGTCTTGCCTCAGGTTTACCTTGGGCTAGTTACACTTCTGAAAAGAAGGCGAGGGAAAGGGAAGGGAAAGGAAAGGAAGAGGGAAAGGAAAAAGACAGGAAAGGGAAGGAAAGGAAAGAAAGGGAGGAAGTAAATTGAGTTCCAATAATTCTTGTGGACTCTGTTTCTTGATGTGGCCTACCTGAAAGGGCTACCTCTGCCTTCTCCATAATTCCTCAGTGAAAAGTGCAAGGGAGTGCTGTCACCATAACATATCCATTCTCCTGGTTGCATCAGATAAAGAAAATGTGATGGACATAACGTATGTAAATTGTATGTCATTAATGTCTAGATTGCCATGAAGCGTTGGTTTGGATGGTAACCAAACAGTACAGTAAAAATACACACACAGGTACCCACAACTTAAACAAGGCATACCCTAAACCACCACTTAGCATACCATAGAAGCACAGTTTTTCATTTCACAACAGCACTTCAACAGGATTGGCTCTGTGCCAACCAAAGGTCGGCTGTGGACTTGTCTTGATGGACCTCAGATTGAAAGAGACAAAACATTGTGTTCCTTCTTCTATTCGCATTGCAGCTTAACAGGCTGGAGTTTGAAGATCAAGATGATGAAACCCGAATTCAGTACGAGGGATTTCGACCCGGCATGTATATCCGGATAGAACTGGAGAACGTTCCATGTGAACTGGTGCTGCATTTTGATCCGTGTTATCCAATTGTCCTGGGCGGCCTCGGAAACACGGAAGGAAATGTGGGCTATGTGCAGGTATGTTAGGTTCTTGCATGCTTCTTAACCAGGGTAGAGAAAGGAAGGCGAATGTTTTCCCTGTCCACTTGTGTCCAACTCATCTCTGTTTCCTAATCAAGGGAGCCAGTGTTACTCTTCCTTCCTTCCCCCCCTCCCTTCTTTCCTTCCTTCCTTCCTTCCTTCCTTCCTTCCTNGCTTAGAGAGGGCTGAAAGCCCTATGAAGCGGTATATAAGTCTAACTGCTATTGCTATGCTGCCCATGAATTTCCAACCATATCCTATGATATCCTACCATACCATACACAGTAATACAATAATAATACAATACAAGAGAGGATGAGTAACCTGCATGTATTAATAACTCCATTTTGAATGCATTATGTATCCCTACAATGTTGTAGGGGGCGGGCTGAATTTGTTTATTTTGAAAACGCCATTATTTGCCCTAAACTGCATTTGTAGCTCTCTCAAATACAGGAAGAACAATGGTAACACACATTAAAGCATTGGACACAGTGCAAATGTCCTGGCAATGTCTTTGCCATGCATACTAGAATATAAAGTTAAATATAACCACCATGCTTATTTACAATTGGTCTACAGTATTTACAAATATAAGGCTATTGTATTTCCATTCATGTTGCTTTGTTCTTGTCTTACACCTTTTCACTCTTATGATTTCATACATAATTCTAATCTCCATTCTATAAATCTTAGTCATTGCTTAGTTTGGGTCTTTCCTTTTTTATTCCAACCATTGACAACATTTATCCCAGATCTTATAATATTCTGATTCGTCTTTGTTCTTCAATTCCCACATCAATTTATCCATTTCAGCACAAATCAAATTTTCCTAATTACTTCCTCTTCTTGTAGAATTTCCCTGTTTTTCCATTTTTAAGCAAAGACCATTGTTGCTGCTGTAATAATATGTATTGTTAAGTAGGTTATCCCCTTGTTATTTTATCGTTTATGATTCCCAAAAGAAATAGTTCTGGTTTGAATTCTATTTCCTCTTTGGTTATCTCTATTAGCCACCTTTGAATTTTCCAATATTCTTTTGCTTTTTGGCATGACTATCATATATGATAGTACGTGCCTGATTCATAAATACATTTCTAACAACTTGGCGCTAAATTTCTAAACATTTTGGCTTTTCTAGTGGGTGGGAGATGCCACTTATAAAATATTTTATGTAAGTTTTCTTTATCTGGTGTATGCTGACTTTATTCTTGAGAGGTTCATGAAGCTTTGCTAGACGCCTAACAGATGTTTTAATTTTCAGCGTTTTTGCCATGCCTAAAGAAGAAAAGGAAACAGACCCACGAACTGGGAGGACGCGCCGGAAGGCAGTCTTTGAAAATGAAGACCAAAGTGATGATGATGATGATGATGATGATGATGATGATGATGATGATGATGATAAGGAGGAGGAGGAAGAAGAAGAGGGAATGTCTGTGGAGGAGGACATGGGAGAGAGGTGCGGTAAAGGGGAAGGAGGAGAAGATGACAATTTTCTACACCAGAATCCGGTTTCCAGATCTTCCAAGCGAAGCCGAAATGAAGCGGAGCCTACACTCCTAACAGAGCGGCCAGCCTTTGCCGACAGTGACGATGATCTTGAGATGAGTTCAGGGGAGGAAGAAGAAGATGACCTCGAAGAGACGGACGGAAGTGAAGAGGAAGAGGAGGCAATGCCTTCCAGATCTTCCGCCAGAAACCCCTCAGAGGAGGAGGAGGAGGATGACGACCTCAAAGGGTCAGACCAGGAAGAGACTCAACTACAAAGTGCTGATGTTAGGATACAAGATTCTGGGTTGATGAAGGATGAAGATGATGTGGAAGATCTCTTGAAAGATGACGAAGACTATAAAGAGGCATCTGATTTCTCTTCAGAAACAGTCGGTATGTACCTCTGAATCTCTTGAAATGTCACTCACAATGTTTTTATGGCGATATATTTGTTTCTTTTTCATAGCAATTTATCCAGGCATCTTACCTGTTTGCTCCACTGGTCGATTGCTTCAAACATTCACAAAAACATTCTGCAATTGCACGTCTGTTGGTGGATATTTAATATTTTTCAATAGTTAAAGGTAAAGGTTCCCCTTGCACATATGTGCTAGTCATTCCCGACTCTAGTGGGCAGTGCTCATCTCCATTTCTAAGCCCAAGAAGAGCCAGCATTGTTCAAAGACGTCTCCGTGGTCATGTGGCCGGCATGACTAAATGCCAAAGGCTCACGGAACGCTGTTACCTTCCCACCAAAGGTGGTCCCTATTTTTCTGCTTGCATTTTTACATGTTTTCAAACTACTAGGTTGGCAGAAGCTGAGACAACTAACGGGAGCTCACTCCGTTACACAGCACTAGAGGTTTGAAC